CGCGCCCGCGCGCAGGCTCACGCGATGAACGGCCAGCCAGTCTGGCGCGACCGACGCGGCCGCGGCGCCCCTGACCGCCCAGCGCGCATCGCGAGCCGCGTTGGCGCACGGGCGCTCCAGATTGAGTGGGCGTATCCGGCGGGCGCGGCAGATCAGAAATTATGAATGCGACGCCGGTGGCGACGGTTTCGATAGCGACGGCGGGCGCCAATGACGGCGCCAGCGCTGATCTCGCCGATGACGGCGATGGCGCCCGCGCGCCGGCAATGAAGGCGGCGCGTCTTCAACGCGCGCGCGCGGCCGACGGGCGCGGGCGGCCCGCGTTGCTCTATGTGACCGGCATCGCCCCCCCTTCTCCTTTGCGCGCAAGGGCATTAAAATGATTCCGGCTTGCGCGCGCGAGAGGCCCGTGTCGTCGTTTTTGTTGACCGCGTTGACGGCCGTCTAGTTTTCTTGCGCACTTGTAAAGGCTCGCGCGCAGACTGTTGCGTTTTGCAAATTCTTTCAGCAAAACCATGTGTTGTTGGAATAAGTTTTCGGGGCGTTCGGTTTTGCAAGTCCTATGGGGCCGAATTGTTGCAGAATTTCGGCGCGCGCGCACGACGGCGCGCGCGCGTGCATTTCGTCTCGCGTTTCGCAAGGGTTCGTTGCAAACAGACGGGTCTTGATAGGCAAGTGAGCGCGTATGTCATTCTTTGACGAGGATGACGCGGGGGCGGCCTATCTGGGATGGCGCGCATCATATGAGGAGCATGCGATGGGGCAGACCCAGGCGCAGACTGCACATCCCCACGGTGGAGCGATAAGCCAGCAGGGGCGTTGTAAATGCTTAATTTCTTAGAAAAGAAAGTCTACGCGGTGCTATCCGCCTCGCCGAACTTCAAGTCGTGAACCCCACTGCTCGCGCAATCAACCCGCTCGCCCACCCACGCGTTGGTTTGCAAAACCCATGCGTGCGGCCGCGACTGCGATAATTGTTCGGCGCTGGCCGGCGCATTGCCGCGGCCGCGCAGGCGCGCAAGTTCGCCTGCAGGGCTGCCAGTTAGTCTGTTAGTCTGACGCGACCGACGCGGCCGCGGTGGCGCTGGCCGTCGGGGACTTCCTAGCACGTCTCGCAGGCCGCGCTGACGCGCGGGCCGAACAGAGCGAGTCTGTTATTCTGGCGGGCGCAGTGTCATGGCGACGTCGAATTGTCGGCGCCATGATAGCAGCGATGCTGGTGACGATGATGACACTGACGACGGGTAGGGCAATGACGGCGCCGGTGCTGATCGTTCCGATGAAGAGGATAGTGTCTTCGCGTCGGTGATGAAGATTGTGATCCGGATTTCGACATGCGCGTGCAGCCGACGCGCGAGAGTGGCCCGCACGGTATCTTGCACAGTCGAGATCGTGCGACATCAATGTGGTGCAATGTGCATTGGGCCATCGGACCGCGACGACGGCCATCTGGATTGGGCGGCGACGCGGTTGCGACGGGGCGGCGACGGCGGCCACATGGCCGCCTGATTGAAGACACGGCCCAGACGACGGGCGGCGACGGGGCGGCGACAGCGGCCACACAGCCGCCAAACCGAAGATGTAGCCCAGTTTCGAATATCAGGTTGACAAACCATAAGTGCAAGCTTTGTTTGGGGAATAAAGGCCCACACATATATATATTATATATATATATATATATATATATATATATATATATATGTATATATATACACATACACATATACACATATATACATACATACAAACATGCATACATCCACCCCAGGCGCACAGTAATCAACCAAGAACCCAGTGTCCTGGTGCCCACACTGGCAAACATTTAGTTGCCCCCTGTGATCATACTTTCCCTGTGTGTCTGTTTCCTCCTGGTGTTCTTCTGTTTTTTCACCATCTCCTCCTCCTCCGCCTTCTCCTCCTCCTCTTCCTCCTCCCGTTCCTGTACCTCCTTTATCCTCCTCCTCCTCCTCATCCTCCTCCGCCTCCTCCTCCCTTTGTAGCAATGCAAAACCCATACCAGACAGCGCTTGGCGCCGTCGGTGCAAAGAAAGCCCGCGTATTATTGTTAATTTCGTTCTGATTGGTTTGTGGAGCGACGATGCACGTTTTTGTTGGGGGTGGGGCGGGGGGTTCGCAGGCCCCGGTGCTCGCCCGGGCCTCCCTCGCAGCAAGTATCCTTGAGCGTGCAAAACCAAAAACACAAAGCATACACAGTACTTTGCGTCCCTGGTGCAAGGAAACGCTGGTTTTTGTTGTTTTGTTTTCGTTGTTGTTTTGAGCGAGGGTCTGTTAAACTACGAAATACCAGGTTTTTTTTTGGGGGGGGGTGAAAGCTCCAGTGCTCGTCGCGGCCTCCCTCGCAGCGTTTCTTCCTGAGTCTGCGAACCCTCCAGCAAGAACAATACGTTCTCTTGCATCCCAGACAGCCAAGAAACAACAAAAGCAAACATACACAGTAGTTGGCGCCCTTGGTGCAAGGAAGCACTGTATGTTTGTTTGGTTTTGTTTTCCGTGGTGTGCGAAGCCACGGAACTGTGTGTGTGTGTTTTGTTTTTTTTTGTTGTTGTGCATAGGTTTTGCAAGCTTCAGTGCTCGCCGCGGCCTCCCTCGCAGCACTTACTTCTGTTTGAGCCTGCAAGGCCACAAAACATACACCCTACTTGGCGCCCTTGGTGCAAGGACACACTGTACATTGTGATCCCCCTTATATCAAAGAAACTATTCGTGTGTCTTTTCGCTCCAGTCCAAAACAAACACACAAACACACCACAAACAGTAGTTGGCGCCCTTGGTTCAAGGGCACATCGTGTATGTATGTTTTTTTGTGAGTGGGGGGTGTTTTTGTTTGGTGTGTGAAGCCACGAAACAGAGTGTACGTTTGGTTTGTCTGATGTTATTCGGTTTCACAATCTCCAGTGCTCGCCGCGGCCTCCTTCGCAGCACTTCTCTCTGAGTCTGCAACACCAACAAAGACATAACACATAAACATATTCAATGCTTCCTTGCACCCCAGACCAGGCAAAACCAAACAAGCCGAGCATACACGGCGCTTTCTTGAACCGAGGGCGAAGACGCTTGGCCATTAATATATTATTCTGTCGTTCAGGTTGTTTCTCATGAAGGGTTCATTCGTAAAGACTCGTCCGTATGGATTTCTTCACACAGATTCTTTAGTGAGGAGTCCTTAGTTCAGATTCTTGACTCAGGGTCCTTAGTTGCGATTCATTTTCAAGGATTCCTTAGCGTCTCCCGACTGCAGATTCCTTACATCGGATTCCTTATCTCAAGATTGTTTAAGTAGAGGTTCCTTGTTGAGGATTCCTCAGTCAATATCCCCTAGTACATATTATGGATGAGGAGGGAATTCCTCTGTAGGGCTTATTCGTTAAGATTCCCTTCACCGGATTCCGTATGAAGAATTCTAGAGGAAACAATCAATGTTAAGGAGTTCTGATTAAGGATTCCTCAATTCATATCCATTATCAAAGATTCCTCATTGATTATTCGGTATAACAGATTCCGTATTAGGATTCCTTATTCAGGATTCCCATGTTGTGATGTGTTTATGAAGGAGCTTGTATGAACGGTCTTTTGATGAGGATGTATGGATTCAGATTCTTCCTTCAGGACTCATTGTTGAATATCCTGTAGTACGGATTCCTTGGCACATAGTCTTGATAAAGGAATGAGTTAATTCAGACGTCTTACGACTGATTCCCTATGAAGGATTATTTAGCAACCGTTCCTTATCAAGGATTCCTTAGTTCAGATTCCTTCCGTACATCGGATTCGTTATGCAGGATTTGTCGGCGATGTGTTTATGATACCTTTCTTACATAGGATTTGGTTGTTGGCAAGATGTGTTTTCTAAGGGCTTCTTAGTTTAATAATTTTCTTTTCGAGAGATTATTATACAACTATTCCTTACTACGGATTCGTAACGATGTTTTCGCACGGGCTCCGTGGCACATATCCCTTGTTAAGGGTTCTTTAGTTAAGGTTCCTCATGAAGGACTCCTTGTTGTAACTATTATGTTTGTAAACGGATCCCTGATAACGGATTCCTAATTCAGGATTTCGTATTGGGAATTCTTCATCGTCATCGTCATCGTCATCATCACCGTCATTGTCATTCGTCATCATCGTCTGGATCGCACTTGTCTTGTTTAGCTCCTATTCCTCCTCACTCAGATTGTATCGTCATTCCTTCTCCTCCCCCTCCTCCTCATCACCCCCCTCCTGAGAGTAGACAGGGACTGAGATCCAGCGCGAGAGAACAATAAGAAACCTTGCGCTGCCCCGCCGCCCCCAGCCCGAGGTTGCACTGCCCCGTTGAAAAGAGGATTTGAGGATGAGGAGGAGCGACGGAGAGCGGGGAGCAGATGAGGGGTACGACGGAAGAATACAAACGTGGAAAGCATCGAAGCCAAGGACAATTGTATGATCACAACGGGGGGGGGCAAGCAAACATTATGTTGTCACCGGCTTCTACAACCTACAACTGGGAGATCCCCATTCCATTTGAGCATTTTCGGCCCCCCCATCTCAAGGTCGGGTGTCAATTCATGTGCGCGTTGACTCTATGGTCCGCCTGGCCTCATTTGTTATTTTGATTCTTCGCGAGCGTTTCCCATCCCAGCCTTACTTTCCCCCCTTTTTTCCCTCCTACTCCACGGTCGCATCCTCTGCGTGGCACTTGGACATTTGGCCGCGTACCTGGCCCCCTCTAATCCGATCGACCTGTGTCTCCGAGACATCGTCTCTTACGGTAAGAGCGCAGTCTGGTACGGGGTGTATGATATGTGCAGCCTGGGTGCGCACGCATAGTTTGCACCCAGACCTTAGGCATGCCCGTCTGTTGGGATAGTTGGTTTGTGCGGTGGCACGCGCGCAGGGGCATTGTATCTTGCACGTTGTGCGAGCACGCTCGTCCAGGCAGTGTCGTCAGCGGGGCGGCTCTGCAGAGCACGTGCTTGTGCCAGCGTGCCGCCGATGCGGAGGTTGAGTGTCGTCCTCTACGCCGGGCAGACTCTGCTGGGTCGCCCCCTGCCCGCGGCCTGCATCCAGAGCAGCAGCGAGGAGTCACGGGGGGCAGGAGTCTCCGGTAATCTGCATCTTGGCACAAAAATCGAACCAGCCTCTCGTCCATCTCTTGACTATCACAGGGCATTGTTTGGCTATGTTTCATTTGTCTTCTAGAATCCGCCCGTGGGTGGACGCCCTTGGGGGCACGAATCCGTTGTTTTTGTATGGGCCGTGTTTTCGGAAGCGCGCACGGGCCGCAGTTTACCGAGGATTGTGGTTTTGGGAACGCGAGCCTTTGACATTTCTCAGGTCACCCCAAGAATTTCTGCGAACGCCATTCTGGAAGGGAAAAACAAGCGGTATCGCCCTCCCCCCCACGCGTGAATTTCAATCATAGCAATACGGGAACTAGACGTGTAATATCTATAATTAGAGTTCGGAAGTGGAATTATTGCAGAAACAGGAGCGCTTCCGCCTCGCAGCCTGTCGGCCCCAAAGGGGGGTCGGCATATTTGTTCAATACGCATGCTTGATGTATAGATATGTGCATATAGAGATATTCCTGTGGAATATATATATTTATATATATACACATATTCTAATTCGCCAGCGGCAGAGTACCACCACATATGGGTTCTTGTTTGATATTTCGAGCTAGACGCGACTTGGAGCATGTTTGTGAATGTATATTGGATCATACGTCTTCTAGTTGCAAGATCCGCTGCAGGGTCTGCTTGCGCTTGTGCGCTGCTAGTCGAGGGCAAGCTCCCAGCTGAACAACTCGTCATCATGATCCTCAAGAGTCGTTGATGGGGAGATAAGCAGAGCTGCTGCCAGGCAGGGTCAGAAGCGTTTCGTTCGCTGGCCGTGGGCACAGGCCGACACGACGGCGTGGGATGACTGGGGCATTCTGATTCATGACGAATCGCATGGGACGACGCTGTTTGCGCTTACAGCGGGAGCCCATGCCAAGAAACACCCTGCTTGCCTCCAGGGTGCCCTGGGTTTCTTGGGTTTCGATGGTTTTGCGATGGAAGGCGCGACGCTCCCACACAAGAAATCCATGGATGTCCTGGGGTCTTGGGTTTGAGTTTCTTGTGGAAGGTTTCTTGTGGATCGGCCTCCCATCGGGGGGGCCCATCGACTTTGGCACCCCCCTATCGAGAGGCCGTTGGCGCGACGGACCCCCAGGACATCGTGGATCGGCCCCCACTGTACCTCCTCCATCGCCCTTTCCTCCCCCCATGGTCGTCCTTTCCGCCCCCCTGCACATCCATCGGCCCCCACTGTAACCTAGGGTCACCAGCCTCGAACGTAGCCCTATCCCTAAGATTGACACGCCAAAAGGCGATGGCAATCTTAGGGATTCGCCCTCAAAAAATAAGGGAACCCCTAAGATTGGCATCGTGATGAGGAGGTGCCCAGCTCAGGGATAGGGATATGTTCCAGGCTGGTAATAGGGCGGCTGTGGTCCTTACCCTCCTGGGGGCCCCATCGGTTGCGGCACGCCTCTCGTGAGGCCGCCCCTTCCTGCCCCGTGCCTCCTGCTCCGGCTGCACGCCCTGCCCCCCCCCGCGAGGTCTCCGCCTCACGCAGTGCGGCAGCGCCACCCAGCGCAGCATCGCGGCAGTCACAGCGGCCCGCCAGCGGGGGGCGGGGGGGGAGGGGGAGGAGGAGGAGGAGGAGGCGGAGGAGGAGGAGGCGGAGGAGGAGGAGGAGGTGGAGGAGGAGGAGGAGGAAGAGAAGGAGGAGGAGGAAAAGGAGGAGGAGAGGAGGAGGAGGAGGAAGAGGAGGAGGAGGAGGAGGAGGAGGACGAGGAGGAGCAGGGGCAGGAGGGGGATGGGGAGGAGGCGGAGGAGGTGGAGGAGGAGGAGCATATGGCCAGATGTCGAAGAAGAAAAACGCCATTAACAGAACCTTTTGGCGCTCCGCGGGGAGCGCCAAAAGTTTTTGTTCATGGCGTTTTTTCTTCTAAGATGATTGTGGGCAGCCACAGACGCGTCGGAGGAAGGCCGATCGGTTTACACATTGCATGGAGCGGCACTGCGTGGAGGGAGGGCAGGGACGCGGACACAGAGGGAACAGGGGCAGGTGGCAGGGAGGCTCGGGGAACCGGCTACGGTAGGATACCGGAGAAGTGGGCAACCATACAGGGTGTGGTTATGCCGGGGTGTATTTTGCCATCGGCGCCTTTTTGGCTTGGAGGGTCACCACGTTGTGCCAAAAGCGTGATGAGCCCTCGTCGGTGCGCGACGGAGATGTCTGACAAGGTCCTCGCCCGCCCCCTCCCCCCTCCCAGGCGCGGGTGGGAGTCGCCGAAGGAGGACAAGATTTGCGCGCTCGCGCCACATCTGACATCGCACTCCTCCGTCGCATCTCCTACCATGGAGGTGAGTCCCCTGTCTTCGCAGAGTCGAATGTCGGAGAAAACATGGTTCCCGAAAGGGCCCCACGTGGCAAGCGCCACAGCGGGAACGCCGTGCTAGTTGATGCATAATTGCGGTCAGCGGCGGCGAGATCGCTTTTGCGTGGGACGGAGGTTCGTTTCAGGGAGATGGCTCAATCCAGTACCACTTGAGGATCGTACTGTGTCGAGTGGCGACGGCTTAGAGACCCACAAGGGGGTTGCGGACTTTGGAGGCGGAAAAACAAATATCCTGGCGAAGGACCAACCATATGCAGTTATGAGCAACGCGTTGTGGGTGCCGCTTTCGGTGGAGCTCCCTATGGGGCCACGCAACGCGTGAGGGAGGTGCCGTAATGGGTGGGGGAGGCGCATGGTGCCACTGGAGCTCCCTATGGGCCACGGAGCGCCGTACTGGGTGGTGGCTGACGAGTGCGGGCGGTGCCCCTCGCTGGAGCTCCCGAGGAGGCCACGACATGCTGTGCTGGTTTGGGGGAAGCGCATGCGGGCGGTGCTGCGGTCTTTCTGTGGAGCTCCCTGCGGGGCCACGAAGCGCGCTGTACTGGGTGGTGGCCGACGCATGCGGGCGGTCCCACTGGGGCGTTCGGTGGAGCTCCCTATGGGGCCACGGGAGGGGGGGACGCATGCGGGCGGTCCCACTGGGACCTTCGGTGGAGCTCCCTATGGGGCCACGAAGCGCTGTAGTGGGTGGGGTGTCGCATGCTGGCGGGCCACTGGAGCTCCCTACGGGGCCACGAAACGCTGTACCGGGTGTGGGGGACGCATGCGGGCGGTGCCACTTGGGCTTGGTGGAGCTCCCAATCAATGGGGCCGCGAAATGCAGTACTGGGCGGTGGACGACGCATGCGGGCGGTGCCACTGGGGTCTTTCTGTGGAGCTCCTTACGGGGCCACGAAGCGCTGTACTTGGTGGTGGTGGCTGACGCATGCGGGCGGTCCCACTACTGGGTCCATCGGTTGAGCTCCCTATGGGGCCACGGAACGCTGTACTGAGTGGCTGACGCATGCGGGCGGTCCCACTGGGACCTTCGGTGGAGCTCCCTATGGGGCCACGAAGCGCTGTAGTGGGTGGTGGCTGCCGCAAGCGGGCGGTGCCAGTGGGGGCTTCGGTGGAGCTCCCTATGGGGCCACGAAGCGTTGCACTGGGTGGGTGAAACGCGGGGAGGAGGGAGGAGGGGGGGCGGAGGAGGGAGGCGGGAGGAGGAGGAGGAGGAAGAGGAAAACGCGGGGCGCCGTCCCTCCAAAAGGAAGACCCCGCACCACAGGCTAGTTTTTTTCGGGGGGGGGGAAGCGGAGGCTCGCGGAGCCTCCGCCCCAGCGGACGCAGCGGTGTCTCCGTGCGCTTGCCAAGGGGATTGTCGATTCGGAGGTGGCTCGGTCTCGGGGCATCTCTCCTTCGAGATTGAAGCCGCGCCGCCGCCTCCCGCACGGTCGTTCCGCATAGTAAGGATAGGTAATGTCCAACAGTTGTTTATATATACTTATACATGTGTATATCTAATTGTATATACACCCCCTTCCCCCCCTCCCGGATTCCGACTGCCATTAGTTCGCCGCCGAATGATTAGTAATTTAATTGTCTCCTTGGAAGAAGTTCCACGGGGGCCGAACGATGCGATTGATACATGCACACGTGTGCGTCTGTATACATGCATTGGTATATGTGCATGAACTGTACGCGTGCAGATGTGCAGGCTGCTTCGGTCCAGGAGTAGGTAGTGTTCGTCTTACTGGGGCGTTGTACGTATGTGCGTGCGCGACTGCGCGCACGTGAGGCTGAATGGCTTTATGTTGGCTCCCAGAATCCCCAATTTCAATTAGTTTTTCTCACGCGGATTCGGGGGTGACACGTGTCACCCATTGCGTTTGTGCGATTGAATGGCCTTATGTTGTCCCCAGAACCCTAAATTCTAGACGCTTCAACCCCACCAGTCCATCCAGAAACGATGCCCAGAGGAATTGCCTCGATCAGGGAAGTGGGCAGCACACAGAGGAAGGGTCCCCAAGTGGAGGCCTCTTGGACCGTCTTGGGGGCCTCTTGGCGGTTCTGGACGCCTCTTAGAGCGTCTTGGGTGCCTCGGGGAGCTTCTTGGGGCCTCTTGGGGGTCTCTTGGGGGCCTCTTGGGGGGCTCTTGGGCGCCTCTTAGAGCTTCCGGGGGCCTCCTGGGCGCCTCTTGGGGCCCTCTTGGTACGCTCTTGGGAGCCTTAGGAGTGATCTGGGAGCCCTCTTGTGCTATCTTGGAGCCATCTTGAAGCCTCGGATGGCAATCGGAATCGAAAAGACGAGAAAGCCAAACACATTGATTGTCCTAAGGTTTTGGAAGGATTTTGACATCTTCGGGACCACCTGGGGGAGCTCTTTGGCCACTTGGAGCTGTCTTGGAGCGGTCTTGGGGCCTCTTGGAGCATCGTGGGAGACATCTTGAGGCATCTTGGGATATCTCGAGCCATTTTGGAGGTCATCTTGAGCTCTCCCAGGCGCTCTTGGAGTCATCTTCAGCAGTGCCCCCCTCCAGGAGGCCAAAGTGAGGCCGAAACCGTAGTGAAATCAATGATGTTGGCATTGTCGCCGAGGCCTTTCGAAGCGTCTTGGGTACCTGTTGGGGGCCCCTGGGGGCCTCTTCAGCGTCTCTTGGGAGCCTCCTGGGGGCCTCTTGGGGCCTCCTGGCCACCTCTTGGGGCCTTTTTGGGGTACCCTTGGGAGCCTTGGGAGCGCTCGTGGGGCCATCTCGGATGGCATCGATCAAAGAAGAGGGGGGCTGTTTTTTAGCCTCGCCCCCCCAAGAGGCCAACATAGGACCCAAACCCTCGTACAACTAATGATTTTGGCTTCCTCGCCGAGGCCGTTTTGGACGCTCCGACCGCTCGCGTAAACCCCCCCCCGAAGGGGAAGAAGGGGGTGGAAGAGGAAACACCTTAAACCACCTACGACCTAAAGGGCTGGTGGGATTTACCATTGGCTTTTCTCTGACGGTTTCAGGGGTGTCACGTGTCGCCCGCTGTTGTTGGTGTGGAAATTGTTTTACGCTGGCCCCCACACTCCCAAACTTACAAGCTTTTCTCAGATGGTTTCTATGTTAGACGCGGAGCGCCAGGGCGGTCGCGTGGACGTCCCCGGCGGTCCGGTTTGCCCCGCCTTTCTTTTGTTTTCTACATGTGTATTACTGTTTTAAACTACCCCCAATATTTTTAAGTCATTATAGAACAAGTTGTTTATACATTCGCTTTCCAAAAGGGTACCCTTGCATCCTTGCCTCCTCGGTCCATCCTTGGCCACTCTAGCTTGTCGCGCCCCGCTCACAAAGCTGCGAAATGGGCGGTTAACGCCCTTGCATCCTCATCGCGCATTCTTGCTCTTTGGGCTGACTGTAGGCGACCCAGCGCACACGCACACGCACACGCACACGCACACGCACACGCACACGCACACGCACACGCACACGCACACGCACACGCACACGCACACGCACACGCACACGCACACGCACACGCACACGCACACGCACACGCACACGCACACGCACACGCACACGCACACGCACACGCACACACAGACACACACGCGCACGCGCACACACAAACACACACACACAAACACACACAAACACACACACACAGTTCCAGAGCTCCGCGCAGAGTTCTTCGATCGGTGGCGGCAACCCAGTGGCGGCGCCGTCGGCGCCGCCCCTGGCCCGCTCCGCGCGCCAATGAGGAGGGCCCCAGCGACGATCCACGAACTCCGCGCGGAACTCCACCAGATTGTGTGCGTGTTTGAGTGTGTGTGTGTGTGTTTGTTTGTTTGTATTCGTGTGCGTGCGTGTGGGTGTCTGATTGCGCGTGTGCGTGTGCGTGTGCGCGTGCGCGTGCGCGTGTGCGCGTGTGTGCGTGTGTTTGTGTGCGTGTGTGTGAGCGTGAGAGGGTGAGAGGGTGAGAGTGTGTGGGAGTGTGTGGGAGTGTGTGTGTGTGTGTGCGTGTGTGTGTGTGTGTGTGTGGGTGGGGGGGAGGGGGGCTAGGTGTGTGGGTGTGTGGGTATGTCGGTGTATGGGTCTGTGGGTCTGTGAATCTGTGGGTATCTGTGGGTATCTGTGGGTGTCTGGGTGTCTGGGTGTCTGGGTGTCTGGGTTGGTGGGTGGGTGGGTGTGTGGGTTTGTGGGTTTGTGGGTGTGTGGGTGTGTGGGTGTGTGGGTGTGTGGGTGTGTGGGTGTGTGGGTGTG